TGTGCACATGTACCCTACAACTTAAAGTTTAATAATAATAAATAAATTTAAAAAAAAAAGATAATAATAATAATGGTGGAAGGAATGTCTTTTTGTATTCATGGTATTTGGGATTCAAATGTAATTACAGATTAGAGTTATTTTTTTCACTGTCTCATGGAAACAGATATTGTGCTAAATCAAGAAAATTACATAAATAGGGAAAATGTCCTATTTAAAAAACCCTAACGTTTACAAGAGTTGCCTCCAAAATTTATTATTTTTATCCCAGAGTAAACCAGGTTACTTTGAAAAGCCAAAGTCAGGAAGTCTCCTAAGGCCTACATCATGAATACTTTCTATCGGCCATTTTATGACCCAAAATAGCATTCATACTATAGTGTAGAAAACACTACAGATCTTAGGTTATTTGAATTTTACAAATGCCAGGGTGGGTTCTTAGCCAAAATATTTTTAGCTTAATTCATCAGTATCCTTCAACAGAGCCAGGAATCAAAAAAAAAAAAAAGTTAATTCAGAAAAGGGTTGGTACTTACGTAAAATTAGTATTTTATTTCACTACCATACACGAATGATAGGTAGCTTAGATCACCATTCAGCAAGTAAGGCATTTTTATAAAGGGGACAGTGAAGAAGCCGTTAAGAAGTGTTAAGATGGACTATTCAAAACTGCTTGTTTTACACTGACAACGGTGAATATTTGTCAAATAGATGCCCTCAAATGAAAGTTTGACCAAATATTAAGAGTTTTTCCAAGGTAAACCTGCATCCAAGTCTTTAATATATTTAAAAAGATAAATAGACTGGGCACAGTCACTCACGCCTGGAATCCCAGCATTTTGGGAGGCCAAGGCGGGCAGATCTCTTGAGATCAGGAGTTTGAGACCAGCCTGATATTCGAGACCAACATGATGAAACCCCATCTCTACTAAAAATACAAAAAGTTAGCCAAGTGTGGTGGCACGTGCCTATAATCCCAGCTACTAGGGAGGCTGAGACTGGAGAATCATTTGAACCCAGCAGGCAGAGGTTGCAGTGAGCCAAGATCACACCACTGCACCCCTGCCGGGGTGACAAGAGTGAAAACTCTGTCTCAAAATAAATAAATAAGAAGAAATAACAAAATAATATATTAAATATTATTTTTCAGTAAAGGTTATGACATTTAAAACTTTCCTTTAATATCATAATACATAGGCCCTTAGTGACTTAGGAGAGTCTTTGGGTAGGTGCAAAATAAAAGCTGCTTTATTTAGCTAACTAATCAAGTAAGTGACTTTCAATTTGATGCAGCTGTACATACAGTGAACATCCCACATCACTGAACAGTTAATGCTACCTTTTATCCTTTATCATTTTCTTTATGAGCTAAGGGATTGCTCATTCAGATTCTTCTAATCCTCATAATACCTGGGCCATTATTACAAATCCTTGCTGTTCAGATAGCATCCAATTTCTTATGAATCTCATGAGTATTAAAGATATCTTGTTAAATGAAAAAGGAGGTATCACATCTTGCCTGGAATTTCATTTGCAATTCAATAGTTTAAGTGCTAACATAAAGAGAGGGCTCACTTGAAATGCACACTAATGTGTTTCTTTCTCTATCTGTAGGTATGACACATTTAGAGGACTATCTCTCATTCAATATGCAACAACCAGAAAAGTATTACTTTTGAGCCCTTTTTCTTGTCATGAGTAAGACTAAATAAACTAGAGAATAGGGGGTAGGGAGAGGGATTAAAAGAGTTTGAAATTCTAAGAGATATACATATATGCAATCAGTGCAATAAAATGTGGAATGTTGTAGTTTAGACAAGTTTACTTAAAATAGCCAAAATATACTTACGCTTATGATCATACTTCAGTATAAGCATATATATGGTTATATATATATGCATATATATACGTTTACAATGAAATATGATCATAAGCATAAATTATATATGCTTATATATGCTTATATTGAAGTATGATCATAAGCATAAGTATATTTTGGCTATTTTATATAGGCATAGATATACAGCTGTTATATATACATATATACATATAATATAATATATACATATATACATATATACTATTATTATATATATACATATATACACATACATATAAGCATATACCTACAGCTATTATTACCAGAGAGGGGGAATAAAGTTTGAAGCCTATGCAGTTATCAAACCAGATAGACACTGACAGCATCATCAAATTCAGTCATCATCTAATTTAGGGTTTGCCGTATTTTAGATTTGAAAACTAAATTTTGTCAATCTACTAGAGTTAGATTGATATATAGCCTGTATCATATTCAGTGGTCTTAAAAACTATAAGGGGAATGTCAAGCTAATCCTACTAAGTCTCACACTACTTGATCATCACATTATATTCATGTAGGAAAAATGAATGCAGAAACAAATGATTATTGGAACATTGCACAGTAACATCTAAGCAAAGGGAATATTACAGTGACTAATGTTTAATGTACCATTTTCACAGAGACATATGTGACAAGGAGAACACAATGTTTGCATCTTTACCAAGAAAATTCTTGGATGAACAAATATATACTTTGATTTCTGAGTTCAATTTAATAGATATAATACAGGTCGTATTACTTTAGATTCCATTCTTTTATTCAGAAAATTATTTAACATTTCTTAATTACTATGACTTTCTTGTTAAGTTTAATCTAAAGAGGGTCACCTTCATTAAATATTGGGAATTTCAAATGATTGTATATATTAATTCCTTTCCCTAAATTATATATCTGAAATCAAAGGAACGTACTAGATATTCCCATCGAAATATTTCACACGCCTCAAAAACTTGACATACACAGATATAAACTGTTCTCTGTTGAATCCAGTTCCATGTCATTGTAAAATGACAGATAATTCAGTTCAGGAGATAGTGAAGCCAGAAAGTGAACTGGAATCTAGTTCATTCCAGATTCCACCAACCTGTTTCCTATTCTCCTTACCTTGGTAATGACACACTTTCCTTGGTACTTAGGCAAAGAACTTAACATTTTTCTCCACATCTTCTTTAGATTTAGTGCCTTTGATAACTTTCTCATCCTGATAACGAATATCTATGAAAAATACACAACTAACGTAACTAGAGGTTACTGTCTGAACCTTTCCTTCTAAGATCTGGACAAAGATAACAATGTCTGTTATCTTCACTTACCTTCAAAATTATATTGGAAGATAAAAGTAGAAAAATTAGGCAATAAAAATATTTAAAAGTATCCAGATTGGAAATGGATGAATAAAAATACTTCTATTTGCAAATGGCATATTCTTGCATATAGAAAATAGTACAGATTACACTAAAACTTACTACAACTAATTAGAAAGTTCAGCAAGATTGCAGGATACAAGATCAATATTCAAAAATCAGTTTTCTGTATAGTGGCAATGATCAGTCCATTGAGGAAATTACAAAATCATTTCAATTTACAATAACATTGCAAATAATAAATATGTAAGAATAAATTCAGCAAAATATTTGCAAATCATTTACATCAAATAACATAAAACATTAGTGAAATTACTATAAAAAGACATGGATAAAGGGAAATATATCTCATGTTCACAACTAAGAATACTTACAATCTTAAGACGGTAATATTCATCAAATTGATCTATAAATTTAACATAATCTGTATTATGATCACAGCTAGCTTCTTTGTATAAATTGACAAATAATTCTAAAAGGTATGGAATGCAAGGAAATGTATGGAATGTAATGGAAATGCAAGGAATACAAAATATCCAAGACAATCTTGAAAACGGAAAACAAAGTAAGAGGACTAATAGTCCCATATTCCAAAACTTATTACAGTGCTGCAGTAATCAAGAGAGTGTGTCACTGCCATAAAGAGAGACATGCATGTCAAAGAAATAGAATACACACTCCAGAAATAAAATTGTACGTTCATCTTCAATTGTATTTTTGAAAAGAGTGTCAAGAAAATTCAGTGGGAAAATAACAATCTTTTCAACAACTAGTATGGGGATAACCACATGCAAAATAATAAATGTGGATCCCTGCCTCACTGTGTCCAAAAAAATTAACACAAAAGAAATTGTAGACTCATATTTACAAGAAAAAAATCAGAAAACTCTTAAAAGAAAACACAGGATAAAATCATAATGAACTTAGGTAAAACTAAGTTTTAATAGACAACAGTAAAAGTACAAGCAACAAAAATATACATAAATTGGCTTTCATCAAAAAAATTTTAAAAATTATTCTTTGAAGACAGCATCAAGAAAGAGAAAAGGCAAACAATGAATAAAACACATTATTGGCAGATCTTAGCTATAGGCTTCCTGTTGCTGCTGTAGCAAGTTAACACAAACTTAGTCGGCTAAAAGAACAACAAATGAAATATCTTAGATTTCTGGAGGTCAGAAGGTTGCATTCCACCCATCTCTGGAATATCCATTTCTTTACCTTTTCCGTCTTAATAGAGGCTGCTCACATTCCTTGGCTTGTCTTCCAGCCAGCAGTTGCCTCATTTCAAACTCGGCTTCTGTCCTCACGTATTTGTTGTAATCTCCTGTACACTCATTTCCCTTCTAAGCACCCATATGATTATCCTTTCCATCTCAATATCCTTAAGGGAATCAAATCTTCAAAGTCTGTTTTGCCATATAAAGTAACATATTCAAAGGTTCTAAGAATTACCATGTGGGCACCGTTAGTCAGGGGAGGGCATTATTCTGCTCACCACATCACCTATCTGGACTTTCATCCAGGATATGTAAAAAATACTTGCAACTCAAAAATCAAAATACTTATGGTCCAATTAAAAGGTAGACAATGAGTTTGTGCAGACATTTCTTCAATGTAAAAATAGCAAGTAAACACATGAAAAGATGCTTAAAGTGATTAACCATTAGGCAAATGTGAATAGCAACCACATTGAGACACTTCTTCATAACCATTTGGATGACTATCGAAAAGAGATCAGACCTCCAAAAAAAATAGTTTTTTTGTTTGTTTGTTTGTTTAGAGGGAGACAGTTATAAATGTTTGCAAAAATGTGGAAAAATTAGAACCCTCAGATATTGCTTAAGGTTACATGAAATTTTACAGCCACTTTCGATAATAATCTAGTCATTTCTTACAACATTCACTATAGTGTTACCTCTTGACACAGTAACTGCATTCTGGATATATACTCAGGATAAATGAAAACATGTTCACAAAAACTTGTTCACATATGTTTTAACATTGTTATTCAGAATAGTCAAACTATAGGAAAAATGCAAATGTCTATCAACTGATTAATAGATTAACAAAATGTGGTAAATTCGTACAATGGAATGTTATTTGGCAATCTTAAAATTAGAAGCACCAATACACATGTTGACATGGATTAACCTTGAACACGTTATCTAAGCAAAGAAAGCCAGTCTTAAAAAAGCATGTGTTATGTGATTCCAGTTATAGGAAATGTCCAGAATAGCAAACTTAAAGAGTCAGAACGTAGACAAGTGTCAGCCTAGAGTTGGAGTGAGAGTGGAGGTAATAGAGACGGCTAATGGATATGGGCTTTCTTTTGCAGTTAATGAAAATATTCTAAAACTGATTGTGGTAATGGTTGTATAAATCTGTGAATATACTAAAAGCATTGAATTACACAATTAAAATGGATGAATTATTTGATATGTGAACTGTATCTCAAAAAAAGCTGCTTAAGAAATGGAGAAACATGGAAGGTTTTCACAGTCAAGAGGTTGCTGAAGAATTTGATAAAATTATAAAGGATACTTAGTACAAGAGAACTGTGACCATACAGAATTCGCTTCTACATTCATAAATTAATGGGGGTGGTGGTAGGAAAATAAGTTTATAAATATTACTGTCTTTAAAAACACCTCCTATATCCTTTAACGCCAATCATAACATTTCCAGAACAATTTTCCTCATCCTTCAGAAAAAGCTTGGAGGTATTTCTCCAAGGTGGCATTAGTCATTTGTGTCACTGAAGCCTTGATTCTTTTCCTTGAATTGATTCAGTTGTTACTTCAACATGTATTTATTCAGTACATAAATCCTAAGTAACAAACTGGAGGTGGAAGGTAAAATAGTGAGCGAATGCAGGTATGTTCCTTGCCTCTTGGAGTGTCCCATCAAGCACTGATGATAAACATTGTTCATTCAACGATATTGACAAAAGTATCATTGAAAAACGAATTTAGAGTTTCTGTGGAAACACAGGCTGTTTAGGGACTGGACTTCATTGGAGCCTATTTCTAAAGAAAAACGTGTTCATTGGAGAATTACTGGCAATTGAAAGAGGTGAAAGTGGGTGTCTACTGATCTGTGAGGGGAGGTATCCAGGCAGAGGCAAGAGTCAGTGGAAAGGATTCTGCCTAGCAGGAGCAGGACATGTTCAGGGAACTGCAGTAAGACCACTGAAGCTCAGTACAGCAAGCAGAGAAGCAAGCAACAAGAGGAGTCCAGCAAACTAGGCAAAGATGAGATCATTCAGTGCTTAGTCGTATATACTTAAAAATGTTTTTATTTTGAGAACAGGAAGCTACTAAAGAGTTCTTGTCAAGTAAAACAAACTAATGTTTAAAATTTCTGGCATTTCCACATCCTCTATCATCCTTTACCTTACATTTTGGCTCATTTCTGGTGTGCTCATTTTCTCAGAGAGGGAATATAACACTGACCAGGCTAATTTTTTCTCCCTAAAGTATAATCACCTATAAAGAAAAGAAAGGACACATGTAAGCATTTGGGATTATACATAATAAACAAAGCAAAAATCCCCTGCCCCAGCCTGCCCCATGACATGTTGTGGCAGGGTGAATACATGGATAAAGAAGGGAATGCGGAATTATTATAGCACACAGTTAGTTGACTCCTAAGGAAGACGTCACAAGCTTTAGATGTCAGCCTCTACCCGTGAGCATTCTATGAGAGCAGAGAGCAGAAGCGGTTTATAGGTCATAGTCTGTGTAGATTCTTAGGTAATCGCCAGATCCCAAAGTTCCATAAGCATTTCACAGACCGTGTTTATCCTCTTATGCTCACCAGCGCTATGTGAGTGGGATACATAGTAGTCTACTGGTCTGTCCCAACATCTTTGAAAATGATCCCTGATCTAAAATCTCTGAGGTTCATATGCCGTGCATGACAAACCTCAGTGAAAAGTGGCAATTGGTGGTACAGCTTCTTATTAAGGAGCCTACACATTTTACAGTAGATTTCAGGAATGCATTAGGGGCTTTCAATAATGAATTTCCCAACCTCGCATCGTCGCTTTCTTCTGAAGACATGGAAAGAAGCATATAACACTCAAGGTTGACCCAGTGCTTACAAGTCTTCTGGATTGGACTCTCATGGGAACTTACAATTCCATGGCCTGAAATATGCGTTTTCAGGGAAAAAAAATAATGACTTCTTTGATCAGCAGTACATTTTTTTTTTTCTGAGAAATTCATAGAGGAGACAGTTTGAGGGTAGAAGAAACAGAGGGCAGCAGAAAGGGACACTGTGTAAAGCTACAAGAAGGGAAAGCAAACGGGAAAACACGATCCCATTCTCTCCTCCAGTCCTCCAGGATCCTTCCTTTGTCCAGTATTCAGGGAAACTCATAGGGAAAAAGGAAACTCATAGGGAAAAAAACTCATCTGAAAAAGGAGAATGTAGTCTGCAGAATAAAAGTCCTGGCATTTCAGAATGATTCGTTTAGAAGTGAAGGAAACTTAAAAGGAGCTCAATTTTAAGACTGAGAAGAAGTTTCATTGTAGGCCTTGGAACAAATAAGAGGAGAGGGTGTGAAAGAGGAATTGCAATGGTATAAATGAACCTGGGTAAACACACACACACACACACACACACACACACACACACACAATATAAAGAGGGATTGCAATGGTATGAATGAAACTGAATAAACACACACACACACACAATATAAAGAGGGACTGCAATGGAATGAATGGACCTGGATAAACACACACACACACACACACACACACACTCTCTCTCTCTCTCTCTCTCTCTATATATATATATATATATATATACAAGTTACACCAAGTAAGTGGACCCCGGCCTTGGTCTGAGCTAGGGAAACACAGTAAGTGCTACCATCATCTTCTCTCTGTGAGTCCTTAAGGAGGAGCTTAAGAAAATTGAGAAAGGAAAATAGGTGGCTTCTTCCTTTTGTGTCTTGAGTTTTACTCTCCTTAGTATGACTGACCTTTAAATTGAAGTGAAGATAAGAAAGTCTTAATGTAACACAATAGAATGATATTGTTGGAAGTTAAATAACGCTGCAGGCTAGCCCTGTTAATAGGGACATCCCTGCTGGTGGGATGTGTATTAATATCAGTGTGCTATGTTAGGGCATCAGCCATTAACACAACACTGTTGAAAGAACATCAGCTTCCAAGTGAGTGACATAGTCTGAAACTTACTGGTTCTGTGCCCCGTAGGCAGTTATTTAAATCCTCTGAATTTAGCTTTGACTCTACATTGGGGGAAATTATGTCTACCTCATAGTAGTTTTGGAAGTATTAATTTATATAATTAATATAATATATAGAGAGCAGTTTGAGAGAACTTAACACTACATATTCAGTGAATCATAGCTGTTATTATTATAAATGGAACCAGTTTTTCATATTAAATAATTGGCCATTAAAAGGTTTGTGAAGGAATTTGCAATGGGTAAGTGAATTTTTAAGGTGTGTACAGAGCCAGAGAGAAAAATTGCTGTATAAAACAGGCAGAATAGCTAGCTAGTGTAGGTTCAAGTAGGCACAGAAACTCAATGGTACGTAGGTAATTGGAGGCTCCTACTGATAACATAAATTAGATGCCTAATTGAACTAATTATATTAATGAAGAGGAGAGACCAAAGCACACGAAGGGAAACATATTCACTAATTTGGCAAATGGTAGTTTTGCTTATATTTTTAATTAAAAACTACTTTTAATTTTGTGAACAGTACCAAACTGAGATAGCTAATTTTCTATCTATCTATCTATTTATCTATCTACATACCTACCTGTCTATCTAATATATCATATGTACCAATATAATAGTTCTATAGATGTATAAAAAGTTTTCAAGTAAATTTATATTAGGATTAATCTAAATAAAATTTTAGATTATTTTAAATTATTCTAGGAGAGACCTATGTACACAGAAATTCTGTTTTTTCTTCACTTTGGACTTAAGGTAAATATTGGTTGAAATATATAATAATACAATTATTTAAAAAAATTTCATTGGCATCATTTGAATGGCTTTATCTTCCAAAATTTTCTTGTATATTCACTATTTAAAAATAACATAAAATAATAGCCTATTAAAGATATCTTGTCATCAGCATTATCATCATTATTATTATCATTAAAAAATAAAATGAGAACACACAAAATATTTGTACCACTAGGTTAAGAAATAAAACTCTGCCATATAATATAAAATGTCCTTATGTATTTGTATCCATTTTGTGTAACCTATCCATAATTTATCTGTAACTATTATGCAGACTATCATAGTATTCTTTCCTAGCATTTTAAATATATTTTATCACTCAATTGTGTACCACTTTTATTCCTATTCAGTTTAAAATAACTTGTAAGTCTCTTTTAACCAGTAAGCTCCCTTTCATTTCTATCTTTTTCTTAAAATAGCTTTTTAAAAGAACCTGAGGTATTTGGCATCTAGAGTCTTCCACAGCTTAAATTTTGTGGATTACACAAGGATTTCCTCTGTTTTCTTTATTTTTTTCCAAAGAACTACTCAATCCAAAGAATCCAGCAGACTCAGGTGCAATTTTTTTCGTGAAGGTCAAATGTTGATGAAATGTCATCTTTAAAGTATAAAAGAAAGAAAACAACAACAAAGAGATAATATTCAATCTAAATTTTTTTCCAAGAGAAAACATAATTTAAACATAAAGTTAAAAAACTCATCAAATTTTAAAAATTAGATAAATCATTGTTAGCATATTCATACTATAAGAAATACTAAGCTATATGTTAACAAAGAGATAATATTCAATCTAAATTTTTTTCCAAGAGAAAACATAATTTAAATATAAAGTTAAAAAACTCATCAAATTTTAAAAATTAGATAAATCATTGTTAGCATATTCATACTATAAGAAATACTAAGCTATATGCTTTTACATATAAAGCAGAAATAATACCAGATAGAAATTTGGATTACATAAGGGAATAAAAGTGATTTGAATGATAAATAAAACATAAATATTAAATACTTATTCTTAACTTTTAATTACTTAAAAAGAATTTTACCCATTCTAATTATAATAAATAATTTTCACTATTTATATTAAAAGTATCGTAATGGTTTTGGAAGTTTATAGCATATATAGAAGCAAAATATACTACAATAAAAGCACAAACGAAGAGGTATAACTTGAACGCAGACTATGTTAGACATGCACATTGTAAAATACATAGTTAAGTGATTGGTGGCTATTAAAACAGAATAATAAAAGAATTTCCAAATTCAGACATGAATAGAAGGGAAAAGAAATAGAATCACATGGCACAAATGTAAGATAAAAAAGACACATTTTTAAGTCAGATGTTTTTATAATTATATTAAATTTAAATTGTTGACACATACCAAATAAAAGGTGGAGATTATCAGATTGTATAACAATATAACATCCCTCTACTCTGTAAACTATTTTACAAATAAAAATGTATCACTTTCAGTTTAAATTTAAAATAGTGAAAAACATATATATCATAAAAACACATTTTTAAAAACCGTAATGGACATACTAAAATTATATTAAGTGGAATTCAGATATGAAGCATGTGCAGAGATAAAAGAAATATTTTGTAATGATAAAAATATAAATTCACCAATAAGTCATACAATCATATATATGTATGCATCTAATAACAGTCTCAAAATATGTGAGGTTAAAATTATTTTTAAAACTAGAGTGTGAGAGACAAATTCAAAATACTTGGAGGTTTCAAAATGTTTCTCTGTACAATATATGTATTCAGTATTCAGGTTACAAAAATTATGTTTCTTGTATTATTATATAATTCTTACATCATCACCATATAATATGTAATATATAATTCTTGTACGCTGAGTACCAAAAACATTATTGGGAGGAATTAAGGAAGATCTAGTAAACACAGAAATGTGCCTGTTTCATGATGTGTAAGATTTAATATAATATTAATTTTCCATTTGTCTGTAAATTTAGTGCAACCATAATAAACATCCCAGCAAATATTTTTACAGAAATTTATACGTGAATTTAAAAATTCACTTATGAGAACCAAAGGACAAGAAAGGCAAAATAACTTGGGGAAAGAGTTTTACATTGGCTGTCTTAACCTAACTGAATTCAAAATTAACTTTAAACTGAAGTAATCCAAACTATTTGGAATTGGTATAAGGATAAACTTACAAGCAAAATACAAGAATGGAGATTCCAAAGTAGCTTCACACATATCTATTCAGTGGATTTTCAACAAAGGGATCAAAGCTAATTCGATGGGAAAATCAGTTGTTTTTTCAAGACATGTCTTGGAAAAGTTGGATGTTCATTTTCAGAAAATTGAACCCTGATCATCATCACACACTATCCACAAAAATTAACAAAAAATTGGTCATAGATCTAAAGCTAAAGCTAAAAAATTTCCAGAGGAAACTATGTGAGAATGTCTTTGTGATTGAAGGGGT